CAAGGTAGAGGTTCCTTTACCTAAGAGGGTTAAAATTGGACCCAAAATAATAGATTGTGCCTTTATTGGGTACGCTGTGAATAGTAAAACCTGTCAATTTTTGGTTCACAAATCTGATAATCCTGAGATTCATGTTAATACGATAATTGAATTAGATAATGTAGAGTTTTTTGAAAATATTTATCCGTATATAATTGAAAGTGAGTCAACAAGTGAAAGACCTAAACGACCACGAGAAGAATCAATGGAAAATATTCTAACTAGTGAGGAACCTAGGCGAAGTACTCGACAACGAAAATCTGTTTCTTTCGGACCAGATTTTGTAGCACTATTGCTTGAAAATGAGCCTCAAACATTTAAAGCAGCTATGTCTTCGTCAGAGTCAACTTATTGGAAAGAAGCAGTCAATAGTGAGATTGAATCAATTTTAAGCAATCACACTTGGGAATTGACTGATCTTCCTCCAGGAAATAAACCTTTAGGATCAAAATGGATCTTTAAAAGGAAAATGAGACCTGATGGGACTATTGACAAATATAAGGCTAGACTGATAGTCAAAGGGTATAGACAAAAGGAAGGTCTGGACTACTTTGACACATACTCTCCAGTATCAAGGATAACATCAATTAGGATGTTAATAGCACTAGCCGCAGTGCATAATCTTAAAATCCACCAAATGGATGTAAAGACAGTCTTCTTAAATGGAGAGTTAGAGGAAGAAATTTACATGGAACAGCCTGAAGGGTTTATAGTTCCTGGTAAAGAAAAGAAAGCGTGCAGACTTGTGAAGTTACTTTATGGACTCAAACAAGCACCCAAACAATGGCATGCTAAATTTGATCAAATATGTTGGCAAATGGATTCAAGATTAACGAATGTGATAAATGTGTTTACATTAAAAACGTTATGAATCATGAAGTCATTGTTTGTTTGTATGTTGATGACATGTTAATAATGAGTAAAGAAATTGACGATATAAATGCTACTAAGCACATGTTGTCCAGCAAGTTCGATATGAAAGACTTAGGAGTTGCTGATTTGATCTTAGGGGTCAGGATTATCAAAACCTCCCCAGAGACTAGCATTATCTGAATCTCATTATATTGAAAAAGTATTGGATAAGTTCAATTACTTGAATTTCAATGTAGTCAAAACTCCAATTGATTTAAGTTGTACATTTAAAAAGAATGAAGGTCAAAGTGACTCTCAATTGGAATATGCCAGAGTGTTGGGAAGTTTGATGTATATTATGAATTGCACGCGACCAGATATAGCATGTGCTATTAGTAAACTGAGTCGGTACACTAGTAATCCGAATCAAACTCACTGGATGGCTATGAAACGTCTGTTGGGTTATTTAAAATGGACACAACATTGTGCTTTGCATTATAATAAATATCCTGCTGTGATTGAAGGATATAGTGATGCAAATTGGATCACCAGGTCAAATGATGTAAAATCCACGAGTGGTTATGTATTCATACTTGGTGGAGGAGCTGTCTCTTGGAAATCTTCCAAATCCTTTTGTCAAAATTATAGACCAGGTATTTATTCCTCTCCTTCAAGTTCTACTGCACCCTTCGGTCAAGTAAACCAAGCTCACAGAAAAAAGGAAATCTTTTACACCGATGTATCGTACTCTCTCGACCAGCTCCACAATGGAATCTGAATTTATTGCTTTGGATAAGGCTGGTGAAGAAGCGGAATGGCTCCGGAAGAGGATATTCCATTCTGGCCCAAACCTGTTGGACCAATTTACATACACTGCGATAGTCAAGCAGCAATAGGTAGGGCAGGGAGCGTTATGTACAACGGGAAGTCTCGTCATATACGACGTAGACATAACACCATAAGACAACTGCTCTCTAGTGGAATTATCACAATTGACTATGTAAAGTCAAACGATAATGTGTCAGATTCACTAAAGAAAGGCCTAGTGAGAGAGGCAGTTGAAAGATCATCTAAGGGAATGGGTTTACGGCTTAGGACAAGTCAGCATGACGGTAACTCTATGTAGCAGACTGGAGATCCCAAGAGCTAGATTCAAGGAGAAAAACAAAGTTGTGGCTGACGGTTCGACATTGTCAATTAACTCAATCTATTCTCATGATGAAGACAATGTTCAGGAAAAGGTTAAGACTTTAAGGCTTGTTAATGAGGTAATAAAGCTTAAAGTTTTTAATGATTTGCTAAGTTTGGTAGATTTGACAAAATAGTGTATCTACGAGATGACACGGTTAGAAATCACCTATGTGAGTGTGAAGTGAAAGTCGCTTAGAGAATTTTATGTCAAAAGCCTATTCTTTATACACTCATGAAACCAGGAGGTGTTCATGGCTGAAACGAACACAACCGTAAGAATCATAAACAGTAAAGGGTTAATTGTGTGACATATGGTTGTCTAGGTATACACCAAAGTTCAACGGTTCAAAGATATCACATCTACCGATTGACCGAGTATATCTAACATATGTTCACTACGGAAAGTCCAAGGGGAAACCTACTTATCCAGATGCAATTAATCCTTGCTAGTAAAGTAAACAATTGTCCGTGCATTCCTATGTTATAACTATTCCCCATCAATGTGGGGGATTGTTGGGTATGTAGCAAGAATTGATGGGAAATAGAGGGAAGGAGAGGAATTTGAAAAGTTTAGAACTTGAAAGGTTGGAAACTTGAAAAGTCCTCTAATGCTTTATTGAAAAAGGCAATAGTCCCTCTTCGGTAATGGAAATGAAAATAGGAGAGTTTAAATAAATAAACACTCCTATTAATTATTAAAAGGGTTGGAAAGAGGGACCCCCCTCGCGCCGTCGTCGTCGTCGCTCGCTCGCTTCGGCTTTGGCTTTGGCTTTTGCAAATGATCGATCGAGAGATAATTTTTTGGACAAAATTTATTTTAATTATTTATTAATTAATTTGCCAAAAATTATTTTCAATAAATTAGTTGATAACAGAATTTAACCGAAATGTTTTCAACTCTTTAATTAACCCGACCCGACTCGGATCCGCGCGAGTAACCCGTTTTAAATTCCGTTATATTCAAAATTTCCCGCCATGACTGTTCTGAAAGGTTGCAACTTTCAGGAACAGTCAATACCATTTGAAAGTTTGCAACCTTCCATTAATGGCCGTGTCAATTCTGAAAGGGTAGCAACCTTTCAGAATATATTATTCTTGCCTATAAATACCATTCAGTCTTCAGAATATTTCTAACATTTTTTCTGATCTTCCTTCTTCTTAAAAACACATATATTTCTTCGTGTACTTTCCTACTGTGGATTGATTCGCAGACAGTAGAGTTTTTGGTATCTATACTCTACTTATTAAGATCATTTTACCCTGGGAGGTTATATTCCAAATCAAACCTCGGATACTAGAGGGGAATAATCTCCTTAAGGGGACACTGTGAATTCAGTGGACTTGATTTTCTTCCTAAATTTTTTCAAAAGAGTATTCCAGATTCTGGTAAGTTTTACAAATTAAATTATTTTTTACAAATAAATTTCTGTTCATCTTATTTACTGGTTCTAAAAATCTCAATTACTTCGTGTTTCTGAATGATTTATTACAACCAATAATTTCTGTTTTTCTTAACACAGATTGGCAACACTGCTCCCCAACACATTACAAAGGGTACCGTAAAGATTTTTCAAAAGAATCAAGTGAAGCAATAATATCAACAAAAAATTAAAAAAATCGCTTAATTTGGGTTAAATGCCTAATTTTTGTTAAATGACTACTAAATATCAAAATAAAATCGTGGATCATGGTGTTTTCAAAAATATTTTCATATTTTTAAAGTAATTCCAAGAAGAGCATTTTATTGGGGCGTAATACATATATCCGCCTTTTAACTTGACCTCATTTTACAATTGTGCCCTTTAACTTTGTGTATGCACAAGTAGTCACTTAAACTTGTATAAGCTTGAAAAAGTAGGCATATGAGTCCTACATGACAAAATACACGTAGGAAAAAAAATTTCATGTAGGATGTCGTTATAACGTAAATCCCTCGCCAAGCCCGAGCCATTTGAAACATCAAACTAAGAGTCTAAAACCAGGGGTGCACCCACACTATATGAGAGGGTGCACGTGCACCCGCTAACTTCCGAAAAAATTATATGTATATAGGTATATCTATTTTGAAAAATCGATAGAAATTAGGATATATTTAACAGTGTACCCATAAAAAACATAGAAGTGTCCTTGTGCAATTGGTTGAAGCTAGAGATACCACCCTCTTAATTAGGGTTCAAATCCTACTCAAGCTTGTTTTTTTATTGTTTTTATTTTAAGTTTATCTTAGACCTCATATTTGAGCTATGTTTATATTAGTGCACACAAGTACTTCAAATTATGGGTTCACCATTGTCTAAAACTAAACCATTTTAGAACCATTAAAATATGAACTTATTAGTTATTGATTGTTGTCGATTCTGTTGTCGGTTTAGCCGTTAAAATTTCACACAAAAAATCACATTGAAAATCACATAAAAAGAAGGTGACAAACCAAAATGAACCACGCACATGAGTTGGCAGATTGCATCTTGCTCAAAAACAAATACTGACACATTATAGAATAACCAAGAGTTTGAGACAACAAAAACTAAAAAGTATGAAACTAAACCTTAAGTCAAGAACTTTATATGCCAAATGGTATAAATATAATTTATTGATTTACTTTCAGGTTATCTATTAAGGATAAAAAAAATCCCCATAATGAAATTAAAAAAAATCATTACCGAAATCGCTTAATCAATAAACCAATATTTTTTTAATTCAGGTTATCAATTTCGATTTATCGAAATTCTTTTCTTATTGAGATATCATGTTATAATTCCTAATATTTAGTAAACTAAGTCTCTAAATACCAACTAAAAAGAAATCACACACAACCACAACCAATAATTCCCTACAAAAATTGGTTATCAACCACTTTAATTTGAGGCATTTGATGTCCCAAAACACCTATAAATTGGATATTCAATAACATTAATCAAATCGTTTAAAAACCAAAAAAAAAAACATATTTAAAAAACAAAAAAAAATAAAAATGGAGGCATCAAAGAAGCTTTTTTCATTGTTTCTCATTTGCATTTTTGTGGTTTCTTCATGTGTGGACATCTCCATGGCTACCAAAGAAGTAAATGATGAAAGATTCAGAAAGACATATGAAAATATGGCTGATGATTATGGAAAATGTTGCACTAAATGTGTAGCTTTATGTACTTCTAGTGGCAAGGAAAAATCTGCTTGTGAAACTCGTTGTGGAGGTGAATGTGTCGCTAAGATTTTTCGAGGTAAATCTTTTTTGTATTATCAAAATATATATGTATAATTTAACATGTGATATATATTGCGCGTTAACTTAAAAAAATTAAATTATATACACTAAGAATGTAACAAATCTTTGTTACACTAAGTTATTCTTTTCATTTTCTAATAATATAAATATATGTTTTTATTTGTAGTTTTTGCAGAAGATATTGAAAAAATGAAAAGTTTAAGTTGAAGCCCTCAAGATGGACCAAAGGATGCAAAATATTTCTTAAGAGAGAGAAGAATAAAGCAATGTTTTTTCATCCGTGACATTGTACTTTGTAATTGTTCAGATTCAATAATAAATTCTTTTAATTTCTAGTTTTTAGATTCAGTAAAATAATGATATGTATGTGTATATATTAATCCGAAGTCAAAATGCAATAAAATTGATTAAAAATAAATAAAAGGCAAATAACTTAAGGATGAAACCAAAAGGGTAACCATGTTGTTAAGGCCATACTCAACAAGTAACCACCTAAACAAAACAAAATTATCTAGAATATGATGAGTACTCCTTTCATCCCAAGTAAGCTGCCTCAACTGCAACCTGCATAGAAATCAGACAAATCTAGCAGTTTTCTCCCTGCTTACACCATGAGTGGTACAGATAGTCGAAGACCATTGCTGGCCTCTAACAAACCCTTGGTCTAACTTACTTACACAGCGGAAGAATTAAACACAAGAGATATAACTCATGAAATAACTTAATAATACCTTAGCCAAAAATGACAACTCGAGTCTTAGACGAATACAACTGAGATGAATAAACTAAAGAACCATAAGTATTTGTGTATGAAGCCTCGAAAACAAAGAGGAATGTCGGGACAGAACCCTCGATCATCCTAACAACTGAAAACAATGTTGTGTCATCTATGACATTGCACTTTGTAATTTTTCAGAGTCAATATGAATTCGTTTAATTTTCTAGTTTTTAGATTCAATAAAACAATGATATATGTAGGGGAGCACAAAATCGAATAAAAAATCAAACCAAATCGTAAATCGAAAGAAAAATCCGACTAGTGATTTGGTTTGATATTGGACAAAAAAACCTGACTATATTTGGGTTGGGTTGGGTTGGTTTTAACTAAAAAATACCAACCCGAGACCAAACCAACCCGACATTATATATGTAATTTAAAATTCTATTTTATACATAAAAATATTTACTTTGATATGATTTTAAAATATTTCTTATATATTTCATAGTTTTTATCTATTAATATATTATTTGAAGTTTAAAACAGAATTCAGAATGATCCAATAGAGATTATAGTTCATAGATGTTGATATTTATAGAAAAACTTAAATGAAAAATTAAATTAATACTAATACAAAAAGAAATTTAATTCAACTCTAAGATAATTAAAATATATAATCTAATTTTCCTTAAATATTTACTAATTTACCTAATATTTATTAAACTTATTTTAGCATGATTTAGTACTTTTAAGTTATGATTATTTTTGTTATGACTTTACAATATTTATTTTATATGATGATCTCATTATTATTTTCATTAAATATTTTTTTATCATCAGTACTCATCTCATAGTTTATGTTATTCTTTTAAGAAACGCCTTATATAATCGTATATTGATTGGACAAAGGAAATATTTAGAGCATAAGTTAATTGTATGTTTGTATGCAAACTTTACTGGAAAAATCCAAAAATCTGAAGAAGAAAAGCCAAGGTTTATTAGTTTGGTTTGATTTATAAATTTAAAAATTAGACACAATAATTTGGTTTGGTATTTGAAAAATCCGAACCAACTCGAGGTTGAAAAACCCAAAAAAAATTAGTTTGGTTTGGTTTATAAAAAAATTAAAAATCACAAATAATTTGGTTTGATATTTGAAAAATTCGAATCAACCCGATCATGTACATCCCTATATCTTATTCCGGAGTCAAAAGGCAATAAAATTGATTAAAAAAATAAATTAAATTAAAAGGCTAACAATTTAAGGATGAAAGCGATGAAAGCAAAAGGGTAACTATGTTGTTAAGGACGTACTCAATTAAACTGTTTTATCTATAACCTGCATAGAAATCAAATCAACCTAACAATTTTACATTCAATTCTCAAAGGTTATTAATCATAGTCCAATAGTCACAGTTCGTCAACCAACAAATATTGAGTATGTCAATCACAAATATAGAGTAGATCAATTCCAAGTGTCATGTAAATCAATTAGAAAATCAGGTTAATCGAATCGCGATAATCAAACACTTGCCATAGTCATTTTTCATTGGCACAATATAACTAGCCGGAACCATTTTCTTTTGGCTTTATATGAAATCACTTGCCGAACTATTTCCCTTCGGCACAATATCACTAGCTGAAATTATTTTCCTTTGGCTTTATATCATGTCACTTGTAGGGACCATTTTCCTTCGACACAATATCACTAGGCGAAATCATTTTAATTTCATTCGGCTTTATATCATGCATATCACTAGCCGGAATCATTTTTCTTTGGTTTTATATCGTTCTACTTGCCATAACCATTTCCTTTCCGCATAATCATCACATGTCTCATCACAGTAAAGAGAAATCAATGCAAATAAGCATTTTCACACCATAAGAAAGAGATAATAACTCAAGCAATTCAAGTCCATGAAATGTCATCAAAGCAATTCATTAATGAATCAATTGGGGTCCACAACAAAGCTGTCACGACCCGAAAGCACCCCTAGATGTTAGGGAGAACCCTCGTTTCTTGACCGGGCGTACTTGACCCTTTTGGGTGTTGTACAAGCCCTTTAACTAGCATTCATCACATAAGACATGAAAAGTAGTGCGGAAATTTAAAACTTTTCACGAATAATTAATTAAAAGACAATCTCTCATAAATACTTAAAGAATCTCGTCGTCACAACCAACATAAAGACACGACATAATAGACATAATATCTTAGGAATATGACCCTCTACAATAAAGTAAAATACATAACAAGTCTTTAAATAAAAACTAAGAAAAGGACTATGCCCTCAAATATATGAGAACATATTTTTCCTTGAGAGAAACCTTCCCAAGCTCTTCCTTTTAGCCTTCAAGCCTTCAAAAACTTCCGACCCATACTTATAAAGTATAGAAAAGTATGGGGTTTGTACAAAACAATGTACAAAGTATGGCATATGCAAAAACATGTAAAAAGGGACATTTTAGTAAACATAGTTTTTCATACAATTTAAGTAAAACATTCATGAATACAAAGGCAAAACATCATACTAACCATCCTTTACAACTTAGATAAGGATTCCCATAATTTTAAGCCAACAAGAACATTACAGTAAACCAACTTGACCTTCAAAGTGAATTCCTTGAACATTTACAGTAAATACATTGAACATTGACAATGAATCATTTAAAGCATTCACAATAAATTCAACTTGAGCAATTACAATGAACTATCCTACACTAAATGAGTAAACTTCCAAGGCCTAGCAAAAAAGAAAGTGAACTCATTTTCCTTAAGACTTTCCCTACCTCGGAATCATCATAAGACTCACTAAGGTAAGATATGGAGGAAGTATGCATATGCCTCCTCCAATACACACCAAAGCAACCCTCAAGACCACCCCTTTCAGCTTACTAAATTTGGGAGAAATAAGCCCCTCAATCAATGGCAATACATTAAAAGACACCCAACAAACCACCAAAGTCTTCCCTTTCGGAATGCCTACTTAGAGAAATGAGTAGATATCGTCCCATACCACCACCTACCCTAAGTAGTACGTTATTTTAGAAAAATTAGTTCAATCAATTCTTTGTGGTGGATTTTCTTAACCGACATAGACTATGAGAGCTAGACATGGAATCCCGATATTAACCTCTATCGGATGAGAGATCCTCACTTGCCTAGAGTAAGGTCATGCTTCTTAGCTTTTACATTGCTTTTCCAATAGCTACACATATATGGACACATAGTTAAGGGATAAGAAGATTTTTACTAAGTAACTCATTCTCTACTAACAAAGAGTACTCATCTTAAGAGGTACTTTGGAAATACAACATCTCAACTCACAAAATGTAACCCACCTCTCCTTCATATCCTCTCGGTGCTGTGCATAACTCCCCATAGATTTCTTAACATAGAAGTATATCATAGAAAGCTCACTAGGAATGGAGAGGTTGCTACTAGACACCACATCTCAACTCATGAGGTGTGTCCGCCTCAAGATTCCCCTATTTACTCAACTTGGTATAATGCATTCTTTAAAGTGTGTGTGTGTGTGTACATGTGCACACCTTGCATATAAGAGTCATTTCATTTTCATCAAGTTCTACGCATACTTTAACCTTGGTTCATCAAGTTACACACCCTACATGCTTCTCATATTCATATACTTTATTTAGACTTAAACTAGGTCAAGCATGCAATTCAAACTACACCAAAACACAATACAAGACCCATTTACAATATCTCTTCATTTCACAAGTTAAACCTTCAAGATTACATATTCAAACATACTAACTAACATCAAGTTCCTCAATTAGCACCGCCATCCATAAAATGGACTATGCCACTCAATATCAATTCATAATACGAACTATATAATGAAAACAACTCAACGTCAATTCAAACCATCATCCCTCATAAGCAATTTATAAATATTTCACCATATTAAGGCCTTTTTGGCAGTAGCTACACCAACATGACAAATACAAGAAGATCCAAGTTCATACTCTACTAAAATCACGCTCACATAACCCAATTTCAAGCCAAAGGTTGAAGTATACATAAACAAGAGTTCCATTAGAGTTTTAACATAAAAATCATCAATTCAACCCAAACTAAATACATTTAAATCATTAAAACTTAAATATAGGATAAAACCTCTTCTTAGGCCTTTGATGACTAGAATCATCCGACCTAGGCCTTTTACCCTCTTTCCTTATCTCCCTAATTTTGGACTATACAATTTGTTGCACATAAACCATGAGCCTAGAGATATCCATGTCATTAAGAAGCACTTCTGTACGACATTCGTTTTCCACCAAACTAGACACTCCCATTTCAAACTTGTTCATCCTAGACCTAGGGTCGGCTACCATGGTTGGGGCATACTTGGAGAGTTGGGTGAATTTGAGAAAGTACTCTTGCACACTCATTCCACCTTGACGAAGGCTCATGAATTCAACCATCTTATTCTCCCTCCACTCTAGGAGAAAGAACCTATCTAGAAAAGACTATTTGATAGCTTCCCAATAAACCGACCCTCTTTCTAGGGGTCTCTCACTCCTCCATTGCTCAAACCACACTTCAGCCACCTCCTTAAGTTGGTAAGCGGCTAACTCTGCTTTCTCCGTACCATTTTGA